TGTGAGGCGCGCACACAGGCTGCAGAGCAGTGTGAAGAAAACCCGCTTCAGCTCCAATCATCATATATATATATATATATATATATATATATATATATAGAGAGAGAGAGAGAGAGATCTTAAAAAGGAGGTGCTGGGCGATGCACACTTACACACGGGGAAACTCACTCTTTCACACACACATTTGTAATCGTGACAGAGACCAGGGTATGAAATGCACAACCTGGTCGCGGGCCTCTGGGAGGCTCCATCATGGTTCATTTCCTGAAGCAGTTGGTGGAGTCTATTTATAGGCCGGCGTACTGGTACCAGTTAATCCGGCACCGGGCTGCCAAACGCCTGCCAGCTGGCACAGGGGCTCGCTCGTGTGACGCGGCGCTCGAGAAGGTTCGGGCTGAAGTAATGGCGACCGAGTCCACAAGCTGCTTTGATGACCAAGGAGAGGAGGGGTCCCCCCTCCTCTCCTTCCATCGTACAACGTGATAGAAAGTTAGAAAGTACTTCTTCCAGATGTGGCAACAATAACTTTTCCCACTTTAATATTTGTTGTCAAATACAATTATGATGATAATCAGCAGCCCGTTAGCTTGTGACGTATCCCTTCAAGGATTTCAGAGCGGATTCACGCCCTCACGAAAGAAAAATGGCTGTTTTTTTTGTCCTGGAAAGCAATTAGTGGCGGCTAAATAGACGCAAAAAAATTAGATTAGTTCACATGATGAGTGAGAGAACAATTATCTGGGAATCAGCATTGAAGATGATTAGCAATTCCAATTGAGTGGATTAAGAACGGGCTAGCGTTCAGCCAAGTACCATTAGGGAGACGATAAAGAGCCTGCGATGCGCATGCACATCCGGTTCGATGTCAGCAGATCGCTGTGTGCGAGAAGCAGGTGAGCCGAGGAGGATTTTGGACGCATTCGTCGTCGCAATCGTTGGGCATTGTCTTTTTTTTTATTTTTAAGAGAGAAAATGGTGATGTACCGCACATACACAGCCGCCACTCCCTGCTTTTTATTCAAATGGCCATCAATACTCGTCTCGCCTGGAGGCGGCCGTCTCCCCGCCTCTCGTCGACTGATGGACCGAAGTGACGGCCGTGCAGAAAATAAGCGCCACTCGCAGATATTTTTTTGAGCAGGTAATGCGTTTGTTAAAGCGCGTCTCGTGGAGCTGATGGAGTGGATGGATGGAGGCGGAGCTGGTTGAGGGAACGGGGTGGGGCGGAGGGGCTGAATAATAGCTACACGTCCAGGCGCGGGAAATGCATAAGTGGGCACATTGCGCTCCCTGGAAGAAAAAGAAATAAGAAGGAATCGCTGCACAAGCACTTCGACCTCAGTGCGGTGTGCTTGATAGCGTTTTCAGTTTATTATGCCCCGCTTCCTTTCTAGGACAATATGCCTGGTTAGCGTAAGCAGCAATGATTTTTTGTGTTGTTGTTTTTTTTTTCAGGCGTTGTCTCCGTTTCACGGTCTGCATCATAAGTTAAAGTTTAACTATACAGGTTGAGTTCTTCACGTACAGCTACCTTTGTTTTCATGCACACACAAGAGGGTTGCTTTGTCTGCAAATGAAATTTGGAAATTAGCTGATAAATAAACAAGCACAGCCGGCAACTGAAACTTGCTGTCAGATGTATTCATCGTCAATAGACCTTGCTCATTTGAGTATGCAATGGTTAAACTACACATTTGTGTTGAAGTGCACTGTTCAAGGGCAGACAGAATAAAGCGTACCACTGAAAGAAAAATTTGAAACCGTCGACCTTGTTCCCTTTCTTTCCACACTCCCCGGCCTTCAACCACTCTGGTAAAAAAAAAAAAAAATGTAAACTGCACAGTAGGAGGAAAAAAGCCCCAAATGAGCAAATATGCTATAGGAATTTCTTTAGTATTGGATTTCATAGCAATCTCAATACTGTGACAGAAACCTTTTCACCCTGGCGAGAGCAAAATTCTAGACGGAAAAACTGTTTCAGCACAAAAACATCAGTGGATGGTTTGAAAAAAGGCCAATCGGTGGATCATTGTATCTGAGAATTTTTGCCAACACAGTTTTATCCAAAACGTTTCCATTTTTATAAAGAATGGTGAGGGCTGACAAGGATAGATTGTGGAGGGTCGTCATCGTGTCATCTTAATGGGTTATCATGGGGCAAACACACAAAAACTGGAGCCACAAGCTTTTCAACGGTCAATGCAGGAAAAAGAAAAGCTGTATGTTAGTTACCTTCCATCTTTATTGCTGTCCAGTAACTTGAAAGTGCCGGTTACTGTGCTGTTCTGACCTCTAAAAAGACCTAAAAAGAAAAAATGATATCTGGATTAATGCAAAAATGTATTAAAAAAAAGAAGGTTGTAAGACACACCAGTCTAGCTGATTAGCTTCTAAGCACAAAGACTCATAAAAAGAGGGAAGAGGGAGGGAAGAGAGGCAATGGCTTTTTAAAAGCAACAATCGCGGCTATGAACATGAATCCATTTGAATGCAAACAGAGTTGGGAAAAGAGAGATGGACCGAGTTGGAGTTGGTTTTCAAAAATGAGTGCGTTGGAGGGGGGGGGGGGGGTGGAGGAGCATGTTGGGCAATCAGGCAAAGAGTCAGTCACGCTGTGCGAGAACATTTGGTTTCCCTGTAGGAAGAAAAAAAAAGAGAAAAAAACGGGTGTCAGAGTCCAAAATGCAATCAGGAGGCTTTGTGCTGCAACGGCTGGTTGACAGTGATTTCCCTTCTCCTCCATTCATATTCACAGGCAGATGAAAAAGAGATGCAAACCCCCCCCCCCCCCAAAAAAAAATCGTTTTGTGAATCGCATTCATCGGGGTGGGAGGAAGTTCTCTCGCGCATAAGCAGCCGCACGACGGAGAACGTTAAAAAGGGGCAAACTGATTGGCCCCGAAGTCTGGGGAAGAGCACTTTACATGATACTAATTGCACATCCGCCGCAATTACCTTTCCGCGCTAATTACAGAAAAGCTAATTGTGGAATTAGCATTTTTTTTATCGAGTGTACAGTGGAGTGGGTTGAGGCCGTGCTGTTGGGGTGTATGAAAAAAAGAAAAAAGAAAAAAAAAAAAACTAAACCCCAGTTAATAAATGCAACCATACCAAAATCAACTTCAAATTCCTTTTCGTAGTTTTGTTGTTTTTTTGGGGGGGATTTAAGTTCAGAATTATTTTTCCCGACTTCTCCCGTCGACAATATGAATCAAGGCAGCGAACATGTACGAAGGAGCCGGACTTCTCACCCCGATTCATCTGTTGCATCAGAGGCTGATCCACTTGTTTCAAACGGCGCTCTATTCCCGACCTAATGCTTGACATTCTGAGCCCGTTCTCTAGTCTCTGTCTTGCAAAAAAAAAAATGAGTGCACAAAAGGAGGAAGAGAAATGGTCTCATCCCTCTTCCTCCTCCTACTGCAGAGCTGCAGCTCTGAAAAACAACCAGGAGGAGGATAGATGGCGAAGGGAGGAGGGCAGAGGAAGAAAAATATGGAGCAGTGTGTGTGTGGGGAGGGGGAAGGGGGCGGGGAGGGGGAAGGGGGCGGGGGGGGGGTAAAAAGGTAAAGAGGAGTGGGGTAGAATATGGAAAAATAAGTGATGAGCGAGCAGGAGGGCATGAGTGGAAATAACAGAAAAAAAAGAAAACAGCGAGGAAGGCGGTTCAACGATATTGGCTCTTTAGGCCGATGGCACATATATGGGGGGAGTGGGGGGGCTGTGTTTACTAATGGACACCATCACTCATCCACCCATGTTGCCCTGGCGATGGCAAGCGCGTCATACCCGTAAAAAATGAGAGGAACAAAGAGAACAGAGGAGGAGGCAAGGCATCAGCGCGGACCTGCGTTATCCGCACAGAGCCTCCTCTGTTGTTGTGAGGCGGAGCACTCCGAGGCCAACACAACGCACGCGGGCTTCTTTTCCTGTATAGCGCGAGCAGTATTTTGGAGGGAAGGAAATTACCCCTTTGGGGAGGGAGAGGGGGAGGTTTTGAGATGGAGATGTACCAAAAGGCTGCAGGTGTTGCACTGAGCCTTTATTTTTAAAGAGCACAGTAGAGTGTGTAAATAGAAAAAAGGTGGAACGTGCAAAGAAGCGCTTTGAAAAGCTAAACGGTGCATCAGATGGCGGCGGTTTGCAGAGTGACTCACGCTGCGTTAGTTCAGAAAAAGACTGCGGCACTGTAAAGAACGTGGCAGAGTGCAACAGAAGCAAAAATATATTCAAAAAACGCTTGCTGGTGTTAAGCTGCCCATACATTTACGAAGTCGAAAATCACAAATGACACAAACTAGTGTGACAATGTGAATGGCTGCTAATTATTCAAGCTTACCACTTTTTGTGAAAACAGGATAGAAACGTCATCCTCATGAACCAAATCATGTTGAGCAACAATCCTCGCGTGATGCTTTGGCTAAGAACAGGAAATGGATAAATGCACAAAGGCCTACTGGGTCGTGCGGGACCTTGAGCTGCAATGTCCCAAGTTGGATTCTGGGTCAGGACTTTGTTGACCTTCGCCTCTGCCATTGTATCTGCAGTCTATTGCACTTTCAACATTTTTTAAAAACACCCACAGAAAGTAAAAATACATATAATATTCAGCAAAAAATGACTGTAGGAACAAATCAAATAAATTCAAAAGTTGTGCCCATTTCTAAAAACATAAATATACATTTAGAAGTCATTTCGAAATTTCTGCATTGGGTCTCAAGGGAACTTCTACTGGAATGCAAAATCTGTAGGACATATTCTGGTATTTGCTTCATGTTTCTTGATATTCGTAAAGCCCTATGAAAAGTCCATTTATAGGCTCATAAACATGTACACAAAGACCGCCATCACATCTGGAGGAAACGTGGCGTTTAATAACAACGCGGGGAAAGCGGCAATCAAGCAAAACTGGAGGTTTGCCACAAACTTGTGTAAATTGTGCTCCCTCCGGTGTCATTTATAAAATAAAGGGTGCCTTACAATGAAGCGAACAATAACCACACTCAACAAATACGTCGGCTGCACGCGCTTCATTTGCATATTGAGATCGAGACAACCCCGGCAGGTGTAAACTCAAAGAAAATCACATCATTGTGTCTTATTTTCCAGATATTGGCCCTTTTCTCGCGGAATACTTCTCGGCCTCTGCAAATAATTAGTCAAATTAATTCATTCAACAAGTCAAAACCAGTCATCTTCCGTTAAAACACTAATTATCTCCCCCAGGCTGAGGAATGCTGGGGGAACAGATCAGCTTTTGTTATTCTGTCCCAAACCTTCGCATGTACCAAATGAATGCCCATGTGGTCGTGTGTATCACAATGTTATGGTCCGTCTGACAACGCCATCTGACGAGAACAAGTTGGGCCACAGTCTGGTTTTCTGATTTAGTAATGAACAAAAGGCTCAAAAGGGGATTGGCAAAACTGGCACAGAAAGAAAACGGCATATTTGAATAAGTAACGACTAACATGACCACTGCAATACAAGTGTATGAAGAAACAGGCCCGAATGTTGCATCAGTTGTTACAAAACCACTAAACGATTGACCTCATTGTTAATGGAAATTGCGTGATTCTTCAATTCAAAAGTACCATTTGACATAACGGTGAGTTTAGAAACGTTCGGCATGCCGAAGCCCCCCCTCCCCCCATCGCAGTGCACCTAATGCACGCCACGAGACAACGTACATGAGTGCAGTGGGACGCGAGATGTCTCACTGGACGCACCGGAGAAATCAGGTCAACCGACGGATTACCGATGAATTTGTGGAAACTCTTGAGAGGGGGGAGGGGGGGGGGGGGACGTACCATTAACTCGGGCGAGGGGGGATCGTGTCACATGAAGGAAGAGACCTCCGCGTGAACCCCAAAAGCTGACGGAAGCCTGGCATTAAGAAGGCTCTCCTTCCAAAAAGAGGACAAACAAACAAGACAAGCGAAAGTCTTTGTCATCCGATGAGTATTTCCCCAGCATGCTTTGCAGGGTGAGACAGAAGCGTAGATGCTGAGCTAGCTAATGTAACCACAGGCAACAGTTCATAATCCATCGATCATAAAAGCCATATGCATGTACTCTGAGAACGTAATAATACAGATATATGCTGGACGGCGTACACGTCATTTTTCTCACACCGCAACGCCGACGTCGGAAACCTCAGAGCCGTTGGGGTATTGTTCCATTGTGCCGAAAGCGCTGCGCATCGAGAAACTGCAATTTCCTTTGAGGGTACAAATAACCTGGTCCTTGAAAACTGCGTGCGGAGCCCCGGAGAGACACGTTTGAACGACAGCAGTAGTAAAAAAAAAATTTTTAAAAGACTTGCTCGGTTTTAGTTTTCGGGCTCGGCTGCTCGTTCTTCTGGCTTTCCATTCCGGACTCAAACTAAAACATTTTCTTTCATGTGAGATTTAATTGGGATAACTATTTGTCCGTGTGGGTCTTAAGTAAGGCAGGTTTGGACCATACGTGTGTGTCAGAAAATAATTCTAAAGGACATTAAAGAATGTCGTTGGTAGTCCAGCCTCATAAGGATACGACTGGTTACAAGACGAAGAGTTATAAGACGGAGAGTGTAGTGATTTACTATAGAAATTTACCACAGTAGAATCTAGAAGGAAGCAACCCGCGTTAAAGCTGTAACAAACCAACACTGAAGCTTCTGCAGAGTTAGACTGTCGGCAGATTAAAAGGAGCACTCACCAAAATTCAAGCTGTCGTCAACATGTAATTCCATAGCTTGCAAGCAGGAAAGAAAACGCTTTTAAGTCACTGGAATTTTCCTTCAACTTCTGCACTTAGAAGTCACCACACACACAGACACACACACACACACACACACATACAAACTGTCAGTAGAACCGTGTGATAAAAGCCTCGATGGATGCGGACCGACGCGGACAAGACGCGCAACCACGGACCAGAACCTTGATGGATGCTTGTTACGCCCTGAAGATGAGCAGTAATGGAAGCGAACAATGACAGCCCCGGCAACGTGGAGGAGAGGGGGGGGGGGGCAGAGGTCAGCTGGCACAGTGGGAAGCATGATGGATGTTCGCTCAAAGGAACCGGCAAGTTCGAATGACCTTTGCTGCAATCAAAAGTCGAACTTGAGGGCCAGTTTGACGTGAGACGCACAATCAATGGCCATCAGAGGAGAACATGACGACTTTTTTTTTTGATTACGACTTTCAACGGGCAGAGTACGTGTTACAGACTAAAGAAATGACCCACGTAAAAAAAAAAAACTAAGCTGTACACCGTGCTTTCCAACACACACTTTCTCTGAGGGTTTGAGGACTGTAAAAGGAGAGCGGTGGGACTGCGATGTGCTGTTGCTCAGCTCTCCTTTCCCAGTCCATTTATTTCAATGGCACAGGCATCTGTATTTAACCCTTCCGGCCGCCTTCCCACGTTTCTGCCACTTGTCATCCGGGCCGGAGCAGCGAGCGGAAATTTACTTTGCGTTCTGCGCGAGGCCCGGGCTGAGATAAAACGGACGGGGCCCTTTGGGAAGCCGCGGCCGTGACCTGTGACCTGCAAAGCGGAGCGATGCCGCCGGACCCGGCAAATTGCTTTGAATGGACTCGGGCCGAAATCACAGCCGGTTAAAAAGGTGGCGAGGCACTTACGGCCGTCCCCGGCCTCTGGCGGCCTCGGCGTCTGCTCTTTGAGCCGGTCGGCCTCCTGCTTCCTGCTGCGGCGTTCCTCCAATTTCGTCTGCAGGTCCTCGGCTACCTGCTGAAGCTCTCGGAGCTGCGCCTGCAGAGAGACAACGGAGAGCCGAATTGGGTTTATTCTATTCAGTTACAGCTCGAGCGCCGAAGGTACTTGTGTACAACTAAAAAAAGGATATTATTTATATACACACACAAGTGCATCGTAGAGCTGCTCATTTTCTTGTTTAACGTAGATCATTTGTAGCTCAAGGGAGATCTGTTGATTGAGACCTAAAACATTCTTGTTCATTTAATAAGTTTCATGTTGTTCAAAGTTTGTATAGAAAGTCGGGGCTGGATTCACACCGACTGGCTCGCGACGCACCTTTCATTATTCACCAGAGCATCGAGGTCCAGACCACAACCAGCCCTGTGGACTGTTTTAAATCCTCAGCGTCAGGAGGCGTTGCTGTCACACTAAATAGGACAGCTTGTGACAACCGAGCACAAGCTATCATCACTCTCTGTAATGGACCAATTAATATGAAAGAGCAGCGGCTCCTCGTTTACCTGTGTGTGTGTGTGTGTGTCCTCTCATAAGGCAGTGATGTATTCGGCTTGGTCCGGACGGGGATGACTACCTTTCTAGGCCACGCTGGCTGCTTAGCCACATTCGGTTTGCCGCCGTGATTTATGGGCTCCGCGTTGACTCAACGAAAACATAATTACTTGTGAATAACAGCCACAACATGTAAATTGTTCCTCCACCGCAACAACTAATGCAAAAGGCATCTGCTTTTCCGCCATATTTTTTCCAATGAAGTTAAAGCTTTTTTAAGATGAATATTTGCGTACTCACACAATCCGAATTGTTCGAATGATGTTGTTTTTTGGTTTTAAAAGATCAATCAGTGTCAACCGATGTGAACGCCGCATTAATGTTCCTGGGGGGGATTTAGGACTCACACACCCTGCACATTATTCCCTGATCAAAAGGTTTTACAATTAACGAGGGGGCAGAAAGGCCGAACATTCTAAAAGGAGATTTTACTGAATACCCATTTGTATTCAAATAGCAGCGACAGTAGGTTCCTGACATGCTGCATTCAGCTCTCCTTCTAAAAAAGAATTCTAATTATATTTAAAAGTTCCCCAGCGTCCCGTTTGTTCCAACAGCAGATTCTCGTTTAACCCTTTGGACCGCGGGAAGGGTTCACTCGCGGGTCAGGGTGTGTGGCGGCCGAGACAAGGCCCCGCCGAGGTAACCCTGCCACGTGGAACAAAGACGCGCCGAGAGAAGAGGGCCCCGCCGCGCTGCGGGGCCACGGGGGGCCGGGTGACACCGCGGCCTCCATCTGCCAATCAGCCGCCTCCGAACACAGCATGGAAACAAAAAAAATTAAATATAAAAACGAGAGGGTACACACTCAGAGACCTTCAGCTTGCAAAAAATCAGCTGCGAGTGAGCTTTTGTATGCATCTGTGTGTGTGTGTCCTTCACTTAAGATCTCTTGAGTTGAAGTGGCATATTTTTAACTGCATCTCACAAGCAATACATCTTTAAACACTTCTTTTTGCAAGGTGTGTGTGTGAGAAGTGCCTCGGACGACCTTGAAAGGACGCCGCTTGTCACATGATTATGCCACGAGAGAGTGAAAGAATTAGTGGGAATTTTAGAAATGACAGTAACTACACGTTGGTACTCCAGTCTCATAGTTTGATTAAAACAAGGGAAGGAGACCTTTCGACGTGCAACATGCAAAACTGATTTGAATTTCTCAAATCCAGACAATACATGTATTAAACCAAACACCAGAGAGATCCTCAGATGCCAAATGTACCACGTATCTCTTGCATTGAACCCCGGGGCTCCGGTTTGGAATTTGGCCTCGTGCTTGTTGAACGAGCAGTCGGAGCGCAGCGGAAACTGTCGAGTAGTTTCTTGAAGCTCCATAAAGAGGATCATGTCGATTCAAAAAAGGGGCTCGATGACCCAGGTGCTTGTTTACTTGTGCCAATCCAACCCCCACCGTTTACTCCTGACTGTCTTGGAGCACATTTACAGCAGCTTTTGACAGGTATATATTTCTGTGCGTTGCACATGACTGGAAACTTTGAATGGGAGACTTGGTACATTTTGAATTTCATCACACTCAATTCATCATCTCATGAATGCAATGGCGGGGGGGGGGGGCAGGCTATAGGTATACAAAACTAAATTGGAGCAATAACATACCAAAGCACAAATGGTTTGACTCAAACAATACCAAAGGCAAGCTGTGCAATATTCTTTTTAAAAAGAGAAGAAAAAAAGGTTGAAAGACTAATTTATTCTGTTCTACATTACTGAAACATTCAACATGGTATGAATATTAAGGCAGGTTGCATCAGCTCCCAATCCTTTAACTTTAGTGGAAGAAAAGTGATATTTAGAGCCTTCTTTAGAATTATCATTGACCACATCCAAACACTTACACTGTGGCATTTTGTCTGTGGTTGCTGATTCTCATCCAAGTCAGATCACCTTTTTGTTAGCTCAAGTTCAAATAAACAGGCCGGAGACTAGAAACATATACACACACGCACATATGTGTATGTATGTAAGGGGGGAAAAGGCGTGGGGGAGCAGCCTTCGCGGAGGGTTTCAGTGTACCTGTTTCTCTCTCCAGAGCAGCACTCCCTCCTCAATCAGTTGCTGCTTGAGCTGCAAACCCTCGTCCAAGGTCCTCATCTGGCCCTCCACGTATGCTCGCTCTCGCTGTCCCAGATTCCTAGAGGAGAGCGAGAGACGCACAGCCTCATCATTACAGCGAAAACATCCGCCACCCCTGCTATGGTCATTGAGATGGCGCGATCCAATTTTTAAGGGCCCACAATGCAACGGGGATCCAAATGGGAAAAATAGAAGAGTAAATTAGATGGGGGGGGGGCTGAACTAAATTGTTTTTGAAGTCTGGCAAACAGCATACGAGTGAGGACCTTGTGAAAACATAATGAGGTATACTCATATGTGAAATAACAAGAGGGCCGTCAACAAAAGAAGTGGGTTACCTTATTAGGAGTTACATTTACACAGCAGAAGGGTACGGTCCATGCCCGCATCTCAGAAAGGATGATAAATATAAGCCGACGGGGCCTGAATTCTTATGGGTTTATCTATTTGTGGACCTGCCATCTATGCACGGAGCAATTTACATTGTATAGAAGCTGAATTTTCTGCATGAAAAACACCTCAGGATGGAGTCATTGAAAGTACAAAATTGCTCTGCGAAAAGAGGTGGGGACTCAGATCCGTCTCTCTATCGAGGATCAAAACAATATTTTGATGCGTTCACATTATAATAGCGGGCGGGAATTGCATCCAGATTTTAAACCATAGTGACACTATGCCCCCTGGTGGCACAGCGATACTAGTTTGAATACCTTCATTTTAAACGCGGCTTGGATCGGCTTTTTTAGCTAAATTGCCCAAAATCTACTGCTTGAAACATTTGCCCAAATGGAATGGGCTGATTAAACGTTTTTTTTTCCCTTCTTCTTTAGCAATGCGTGGGCCTCTCTGCATGTGTTATTTTACAAATATTGAATCTCAGTTTTGATTCAACTGACCAGCAAGCGTTCTGGCAGTGAGCGTGGCTGTTGTATTCATCTGAAGCATCGCAGCAATCTGGCACAGGAGAAACCGGTCCAACACACATACAAGAGAATAGATGAGCATTCACAATATCAGACAGGAGGGGAAAAAAACACAAAACAAAAACACAAAAACACAGTCAGCAACATTGAAAATAACATTTTTAGCTACTTTCTGAGCTTTGCATCTTTCCTTTGCTCCTAAAAAGGTGAGAAGAAGCAATTGCTTTCCAACAGCGCATCATATATTAATGAACATTCATTAAGAAAACCTGAAAACGGATCAGTAACAATATTGATGGATTGATTCATCACTGGTCAGGGGTAAGAGGTTGGCTGCTGTGGGAAGTTGCAATGGCCATTTTCATCATTGTCTGAGAATGAATTGATAAAATAAAAATCCCCAGATCCAAGAAAGTTTTTCTTATTTTAGGATTCCAGAGTCTGTACGACAGTCTTGCAGCCCCCACGTCTCACTCCCAACGTAGCTCCGGTTAGCAGAGCGATTAGAGACCGGGGAAACAGATAGCTTGCCTTTGTCCGAGGGTAAGCAAATCAGCCCTTTTAAACATCACTCATAAATATGTTTAATCTGTAAAAAAAAAAAAAAAAGAAAATCTATATGCGCTAAGCTGACCAGAGTAGCCTTCTATCAAACCGCCAGACATGAACGGCAAAGACATTCCCTTTAGGGCTTTCGTCACTTTTCGGCCACATTAAAAATAAGATCTGTGCGTCTACTTCAGAGTGGGGCTTCCGCTTACAAAGATCAGCTGCTTGGTGTTACGCAAGGATCTGTCTGCCTTTTGATCAGATGTTTCGCCCCAGAGGGCCAGAGTGGGCAAACTGAGAGGTTTCTCAATTATCGGTGACCGGTGAAACGAGAGATTTACAGCTCAGAAAGGGAAGCCAATGAAAAAGCTCCAAACAACCGGCGAAGGAAAAGCGGTGTTGCGTTTGCCATTGAGAAGACAAGTGGGAGGAGAATAAAGGGAGGAAAGGAAGGAGGAGGAAGAGTGCTGTTCAAGGGTGCCGAAAGCACCGGTCACAGACAGGAGGCGGCCACGATGAAATGCACTGGTAGCGAAGGGGAGATTTACGGGAAGACCAAAGTGGATGAGAAGAGGGGGCTGAAAAAACATCTGATGGGGTCGATTTTACGAGAAAGAGTGGAGAAAAGCCTCGCGAGAAAAGACAGAGGAGAGTGAGCGTGTGCACACCGCTACATTTGAACAAATACGAAGGAGAGTCGTTTTCTAAAAGAATAAATCTGGTCACCACTACATTGTGAACTACATTGTTCATCCATTGCCTCACTTCAGGTCCGGCAAAGTGCATTAAAGTCCCCTCTCAGCAGTATTATCATCATCATCATCATCCAATAGTATTATCATCATCATCCAATATAAGGCCGTAGAAGAAGCCATACCACAGATGCCATCATTGACCCGCGAGGACGGAATGTAGTGTGGGCGAAAACCCAGGTTGGTGCAGTAGAATCGGCCCTGAGGACAGGCGGAGGTGCCTACGTGGAGTCAGAAGCAGAGGTCAGCACCAAGTCATTGACTAACCATCGGAAACAGTTTGATCAAGTCAAAGCTATTCCTAATACATGCATGCAGACCGGTAAGAGGAACACATAATATGCCCGCTTTCAACGGGCACCTGTACGGATGATTCTGCCGCATTGCATTTTGTTGTTTAATTAGTTACTTATTTTTCAACAGCCTGGTTAACACCTGCTCAAGAGTAGAATTCACCCATGTTAACAAGTGCTAGCAGTGTGCAGTTGGAAAATCAAAAAAACATTTTGAGGTGAAAGTGAGCAGACATTACTCTGATAAAAAGTCCTAATAAGGAAATCGAAAACATAAATTGAGGGTAGAAATGACTTCTAGATTTTTTGTTTTCAGTGCACTGTACTGGCTGTATCAGCTGTCAGTGGGGTTTCATTTTTCCCGGGCATATATATATATATATATATATATATCTCAATAATATCTACCTGAGCAGAGAAGTCCCTCTCTCCCTCCATGTGCTGTTCTCCTTGCTTTACTTTCCTTTCATTGCATGGGAGCGTGCCCCACTGATGGGGTCACAGCCACTGCGCTTCAATGCACTCATACGAGGGTTAAAGTTGATATTGCCGTCACAACGGAAGCACGTCACCCAGCCTCCGGATCCCCCTCAAGGAAAACCCTCTCAGCTCTGCCGGGACCTTTTAGCTATGCGCCCGAGAGCCACGGCGAGGCAATCCAAATGCCCCCAATCTTGGATCTTGCAGCTTCAAGTTCAGCGAGTTAAAAGCTGCTCGATTCAGAATGAAGGGCGCATCTACTGGCTCCTCACGGTGCTTAACCTTGAGACGGTCGCAGAAATAGTTCTGTCAGCACTGTTGCCGATGTTTATACTGACCATGTTTACCTGAGGGGGAGGCGCTACGCTTTCACAACAACGCTGTTATCAGTGGTAACCACCATACATGCACAGTGCAGGCCAACGGCCACAAGCAAGCCAAGGAGACTTGAGTGCACTAACATTCATGTGGAGGAAACCAGGGCAGCGGTTCCAGTGCTGAACAAATGTATTGTTTCTGAAAATGAAATTACCCTTATTTTTTCTAAATTGATGTTAACAAAGGTTTGGGGGTCAATTTGCTCTTAAATGTGGCCACGTGTTGATTTTCTAGGTTTAAATCAAAGTAAGTTCACGGCCCTTTTGTTGGATTAAAAGTTAACGGCAACCGATCAAGCACGGGAATAACAAAAAGTAGAGAGAAGCTCTGATGGCAACACACAGAGGGAGTTGGACTTCATACTCAGCGCAATTACATTGCAATTATAGTGTTCTGCTATACGCATTTTGAGTTTAGCTTCATAAATGAAACCCAGGTATTTGTTGCCAGTAGCCACAGATCCTCATTGTTCAGCCTGATGAGCCGTTTAGAAGGGTTCTGGTTCCCCAAGGAACAAGTGATTAACGTGGTGATATTCAGAACGAGAACGTAATTCCAGAATGAGTTGAGTAATACTAAAAGTATCATGAGGACATAAAGCAAATGTCTGGCTACAATATAGTCTGAAATGTTGAAGTGAGAGCACATTTTTATAGACAGTGAGCCATCCGTAGTGAAAGTTTTAGTGAAAACAAAAACTCAGAAGGGCAACTATTGCAGAACTGTATTGCAAATAAACAGCATGCAAAAGAAAACCCGCATGCACGTATTACCTGGTTCATCTGAGCCATCTTCACAGTCACAGTAGTCATCGTTCACCTGCTCAAAGGGGATGATCTTGGAGCCATCGATGCACAGAAAAGACTTCCTCTCCCTGAAGAACCGCTTGTCTGTTAGAGAATGAAAACGTTACTGAAGGAGGCATGTCGATGGTCTTGAACTGGAGCTAGAAACCACTTTGGATAACATTTAGCATGTTGACATTTGTTTTTAAAGAATTGTGTCATCTATAAATAATGTATTAGCTAATTAGCTTTTAGCTAGCTTGAAGGGGAAATAACTTACAGGACGAAGATATTCCTCTTATTTTTCGTGAGTCTACAAAACCAAACCAAAAGACGGCGACGATAATCATGTGGAAATGCATGTCAGGTGGCAGAATTATAAACTGTCTCACACTTTACAATAACCCGCTAAACTGTATCAAACGCATACATTTTTACGGACTTCCTGAAACATGCGGTCACCTGACAGTTCTGAGCCTTTCCATTGGTTAGTATCACAGCCACGTGTCATTATATTGACCAATAGTGAGCGAGAATGGCTTTATCCCTCTACCATGCACTTGTTCATGTTAATCACTTTAGACAATTTATTTAGAATGGAAAGACAAGCAACGTGCAAGCTTTATTGGTTTATTAAATGGCATTTAATGAATGAAAGAACGCCATTCAAGTGTGTAAGGAGTATTTGGGGATTAACGTGATTAAGGAGTGTGAGGAAAGACGTTTTCCTAAACGAAGGAGACACTCGAGGCATTTTATTAAGTACTTTTAAGCAACGCAGTTGCTTTACTAACCAGTGCAATAACGGGAAATGGTCAATAAATTACATTTAATTAGGCATTCTTTACTCAAAACAAATATTTCGTCTTCATGGGACACGTAACAGGAACTACAGCTCTCTACAAGTATCCTATAGTATCCAACAGCGAGGACATCCTCATAGGAACGTGCGTCATGTTGTATTTGTTGAAGCTACAGAGCTGTTGAAGCTACGCGGTGTGATTTACACAAATAATGTGATAGCAAAGTAGCTTGAAGGGCACTTACGGGACGAAGATATCCCTCTTATTCTCCGCGAGTCTACGACATCACAACAAAACACAGAGGCGACTAAAACGAGGAAACGTCATGTCAGTTGTCACACTTATAAACTGTCTCTCTCCTGCATTATAAATTCCCGCTCAAATGTGTTATTAAATTCATGATATAACTTGTAATGCATTCAAAATTTCGACACGCCGTGTCCGTACTTCCCGAAAAAATCAATCCGATGTCTGTTCTTTGCCTTGCTATTGGTTTTCTGTCCCAGTCACACGTGATTCCGTCGACCAATCACAGCAGGTGGTCTGGATGCTACATGCGGTACACACCATCATCGTGTACTACATGCAACACACACCATCATTGCTTTTTCCTGGTGAAAAGTGTGAAGCAAGTGGTGGCAACCGAATGATTAAACCCACCTCTGGTATAGCCTGACTAACCGTAGCAGATCATCACTGATGTAATTGTGAATTATGTAGCGGTAAAGTTCAGGTGTTACACTCATTCGTTAGATCTAACGATGTTATTCTCTGGCGTTTGAATTTCAATTCAAATGTAGCATCATTGATATAATAAAATATGTGTGATTTGTTTATCTCATATCATAGGAAGATAGATATGTTATTACCAAAAAATCATGAACACATATGAAACAGGAGCAACTTCTGGTAGTTTTATTAACAATAGACACACTTTACAACATTTACAGATAGCATACAGGTCTTTGACTGTACCAAATGAATGACTTCTTTTTAGAAATTCCTATTTGTCATTTCTCACTGTTATGTCTTGTGTAAAGACCTGCACTACTGCACAGGGACTCCTTGCTCTGAAGGTACGACATCATGCCCGGGAATGAATAGGAGTCCAAGGGTGGACGCATTGGAAACACTGGCATCAGTCCGGATGTCATGTACGGTGACATAAAACCGGCCATCCCACCGTTTGCTGAGGAATACGCCAGCCGTAGAGGGCTGACGCCCAGGCGGGGGTTAAGCCCGTACAGACCGTCTCCCCCGGCGGCCGGCGGCGGCGGCGGCATGTGGAGCGGGGAGAAGGCCGACTTGTTCCCCAGACCACCGAGCACTCCAGGCCATCCAACAGAATGCCAGAGTGCGCTCGGGTGATTGGACAGAGACAAGCTATCAGAGTCCATTTGGTTCTCTTTGGAGCTCAGCACCAGCTCAATGGACCTGACAATGTCACCTTTGCACGTTCTCACCATAGACTCCAGAGTGTCCCGTTTCTGGTGGGGGAAGATCTTGGCCATTATATCGGTGGGGTCCCGGTTCGGGCTCTGGCTCCGGCAGTCCTTGGGTTTGTCCGACTCGGTGCCTGACTCTGGATCCGACGAGGAGAGCGACCTCTCCGGACTCTCTACTTGGTCTGAGTGCTGGTCGAACACTGGGGATGGACTTGCGCGGTCATCACTGAATGAAGTGGTGATGTCCTTGTTTGGAGACAGATCTTTCTTGTCCATTGGGGAGGGCAGCCGTGCGGGGTCGGGTGCAAAGAGGGGTCGGCCCATAAATCCGTTGTAAAAGCTGTACTTGCTAAGTTTGTTATCTGAAATGTAGAAAAAAAAACACATGGTTTTTGTACAGGATTTGTGTGAGTAAAACTACTCGAATCACTACTCGGGCTACTTGAATTAAGTACAAACTTCAGACTTCAAACATCCAACTGTGAATTTAATGAGGGGTATATTTTATATTTAACAATTAAATGATCTTCAAAGTAAACATTTCAATTTCTAATGTACCTTCTTTCTGGCTTTCCGCTCCAAAAACATCACAGCCGGCAGCCGTCGGGTTACTGCTTTGGCCCGCTGGCCCCCCGGGGCCTACTGGTGACGCCGGACGGATCCCCGTGTCCCCTGCAGACCCGGGGCCGGGGTACATGAACCGAAGCTCCCGGGCCTCGCTCTCCTCCTGCGCCTGCTGCCTCCTCAGCGCCACCTGCGCGGCCATCACCCGCTGCCGCTCCGCTATCAGCGTGCACTTTGCGCACACGCAGTCTCTCCAGCGGCAGAAGCGCTTGTGGCCCTTGAGCGCGGACACCACGCCGTGGTTCCTGCATCGGGCGCACTTCGGCGTGCGCGGGTATCCCCTCTCCAGGACGGGATTGCAGCCGCGGAAGAAGAGAGGCGGAGGGCGCAGGAGGGAAGGAGGCACGTGGAGGCCTCCGAGCGGCGAGCCGAGCGGTGTGACGCTGCTCTCCATCGGCCCGACAAGTTGCGAAAAGTCGTACAGTCCGATGGGAATGAACGATCTCTCTGTGAGGGACCGGCGTCTCTCTACTGCCGCTGACACCCTGGAGCAAGACGCCTTAAGTGTCCCTCTCTCCAGGTGGTTTGACATGTAATAAGACACCCTCGTCACACCCCTTTCCGCTCCGGCCTCTTAACAGCCTACCTGATCCCATTGATTTGCATCCTGGATGAATGGTGGGATGATCTGATGCAGAAGTACCAACCGTGTCCAGACTTTCTATAATTGCACTTTTGGGAATTGTGAGCTGCAGGGAATTTTATTTTCATTAAAGATTTCCGTTGATTCAATTGTTCATTGTGTGTAATATGCACCAACAGTAAAAAACAAATTAAAAAAACTGTTACTTTGTTGATTCAGGTGTGTAAATGGGAAGATAACCACGTTGCCTCGGGTCGGCTAGATACAATTAGTCACTTTGGTCACCCCACTGAGCAATGAATATTCACTATTAGGCTGTTTTTAACACAACAATGGCCCCGATGGACACAAAGGCAACAGGTCATTAACTACCTGGTTGTTCTGTTCAACAAATTACCTCGACAAAAGACCCATCTGTCAATAAACACCCAGCAAGATTGGCGGCCCGACTAATCACACCTTGTCACATGTTTCATTCATATCTCTCCACTCAAACAGGATCTAGTTACACGCAGCAGATTGCCTACCTGGTATCACACGGAAAGCAACTAGCGCGTAATGTCACAAACACAGTGTCAGTCACCAAGGGAAACACGTGCCCTCGGCCAAACCCGACTTTCCTTTCTTTCCGTTTGCTAAAATGTGAGCGGCTTGACGGAGATGTCACATAAACTCAAAACGTTAACAACAGCATCCTTTAATCCCGGCGCCTCCTAAGTCCGTAGATTTAAGAGTGGGGGTTTATCGGTGGCTTCTCTTGGTCTCCCTGTAGTTATGACTCCACTCGACTCCTTCTGAATAATGGATGTGGGTTAAAGAGGTGCTGGATGGAAGCGCTCAACCCCCTCGTGGCCTTTTACCGAGATAATGATCCTCCGGAGGGCATCTCGGAGGAAGGTCTGCTAAAGCAGAGGCCGGGAAAACTGCTTACAGTATAATACACAATAATTCGATGTGGGAATAGCTGTTGTTAGTCATTAATATCACCACTTATCCCACAAACACCCTATTAAGGGTTTCAACCTGATACAAGACATTTGTTGCTTTTGAGGGCCAAACGCGTGAGTGGCAGATTGAGCCCCTTTTTCCCCCCCTTTTTACCTCGTTCTGACAAGGATCCGTCTGTCCTCAGGGTGGCGGGTCTTATCAGCAGCATACCTAGCCCACCTGTCCCATTACACCCATGCATGTGTGCATATGCAAAAGCCAAACACATTTAGTGCAAAAAAAAAAAAAAAATCCGTACGTGTGTAGGGGAAACTGTCGTAACAAAAGCATCCAGATAATGAAGAGTCTGCTATTTGCAGAAAGATGATCCACGAGTTAAAGGGCTGGATGGACGGACAGATAGGGGTCGGTACAGACGCACTACAGCTGGGCAGGACATGGAGAGGATTTGAAACGCATCCATCAACACAGAATGCCCTAAAAACATAAACAAATGCCAGTGATGCAGATGCTGTGTGGACGCGCATGCAGATCTAATCATTTCATCCACTGTGACGTTGAACTTGAGGTTTGGATTCGTGGCTGGTGAGTTTATCCAGGCCCATTAAGCTGCTCTCACCTGCCTCTTCATGCACACCTCTTATGCGGACCAGTCTCAGCCTTTTCTTGCAGGAGATGCTGGCTGGAAGCAGCGTGCTGTTAACAAGCCCGTGTGAATGTGCGTGTCTGAGTACATATTGAGGACCCGTTTCAGCCGTATTTATAATTACCCCGAGGAGGTACATGGGACAAAAACAGCCGTTTTGGAAAAGCCTCTGTAAATTGGATTACGGATAAAAGCTGAAGTGTTATATTTACTCATTTACTGCCTCTTCTGTTTGTCTCTGGATCATAGGATTACCACACGGCCGAGCCAAGATGGTTGTTTAATTTAAGTGCCTTCAAACCCGATCGGTTACAGTCGGATACAAGGTCATTCTCTCGATTCGTTGGTGTCAGTCTACACTTTGATCGTAATATAAGTCATCTATTCCTTATAGAAAACCTTACATCCAGTTCTTCGGTT